ATACAATTCAAAAAGATTCAGAGGAGAAGTGATTGGGTTATGAGGGCCTTTACCCAATCAGTGAATTAATCCCCCTCACAGGGGATTGAATGTAATTGAAGGCTGGTAGGATGTGGCTAGAGGAGGTGGGCATTGGGGTGTGCCTCTAGGGTATACATATTTTTTTTAATCTGGCAAGTGGAGTCCCTCTCTCTCTCTCTGCTTTCTGATCGCCTTGTGAGCTTCTTCCCTCTGCCACACTCTGCCACCCTGATGTTCTGCCTCACCTCAAACCCAGAGGAATGGAGCCAGATACCTATGAAACTATGAGCCCCCAAATGAACTTTCTCTCCTCTAAAATTGTTCTTGCCAGTTCTTTTAGTCACAGCAGCATAAAAGCCAACTAAAACATATATGATGGGGAGGTTTGCAACATTATCCATGTCTCCCCACATCCCAAATAACTTACCTTTGGAAATGGCATCTAAGTGGGATTACAAATCTCTTTGGTCATGCAAGAAACCACTTTATTCATCTATCTAGTCACTTATTGGCTTATTTATTTCTTCATGTATCTCCTTCACTCATTTGATTAAAATTATGATCTCAACAAGGCCAAGGGCTTTTCATGGATTGTTCACTAGAACAGTGCCTGTGAATAGCTATGAATCTTTGAACTCATTCACTCTTTCATTCCACTGATGTTTCCTGGATCCCTAACATGTTACAGGTTCTCAAGGTCCAATCAGAAAATTTCACTATAAATAAAGTCACATCATGAGAAATCTTTAAGCTAGAAAAAACAGATCATATTTTTCTCATTCTAAATTCAATCAAAATTTAAAAATAAGAGGACAGTTCTCTGCCTACCCAAAAAGAATGGCAGAAGAAAATGTAGGCCAGAATGGCATATATTTCCAACTTTTTGTCACATGTCCCAAAATGATGTAACACACACACATGCATCAGTGGGGAGTGGGTGAACTACCAAAAGACTGGACCAATGATCCCTATAAGAATGAATGGAACAGTCTGTAATTTTGACTGTGGTAGATTTGACATAAATCTATACCTGTGATAAAACTGCAACCCCCACACATACCCCAATGCATGTAAAACTGAAGCAATCTGCATAAAGTTGGCAGATTGTACCATTATCAATTTCCATAATTACTACTGTAAGATGTTACCAATGTTGTAAGAGTTGAAGAGCGTAAAAAAACATCTCTTATTTTGCAATTTTATGTCAAACTATAATTACTTCAAAGTAAATCAATAAAATTAAATAGCAGTTTGTTATGAAAGCAATGCAAAATATTAGACCAAAACAATACTCAATAATGGGGTAAACCTATACGACAGTATATTGAGGATTTAAAAAAAAAACACATTTCTATAATTGTGACATGAAAGGTGTTTGCATTCAGAAAGCAAAAGAAGTAGAACTTATAAAACATGCAAATACAATGTAATTTTCTTTGTGTTTTTTTTAAGTGTGTGGGGAACAGCATTTGTACAAGTATATGCCAAATGCCATTGGTGTCTACTTCTATGTTAGCATCATGGGTGATTTTTTATTATTTCAGGGTGATTTTTTTATTATTTCAGTTTTGCTTCTCCATATTTCTACCCTTATTTCTCAAATGAACAATATTATCTAACAAGTATGTAAAAGGCCATCTATCCTATGTGTGTGACTCTGATAAATTTTGTATAACTCTGAAAGAGAATCGGGACAAATGGGAAGATTACATGGAAAGACATTTCAGTTCTGTGTAACAATGTATTGAGCTCTTTCTATGGGCCACTGAACATGAACCACCACCTGTGAGCCCACTGCTTCTAATGGGAATGGTATCTACCAGGGCCTGGCAAATTCCTTATCAGTAATTATGTGGAAGGGAGTATGGCTTATGCAGGCTGAGAAGTTGGATCTGATTCTAAAACTGCCTTCCAATTCTAAAACTCTATGCCTTTTGATTTTGTAATGAATTTAACAGACAACACCTATCATTTTAAAAGCCCTTTTTATGTTTCAAAGCACTTTCACATATGTTGTTTTATATTAGCCTTAGTCCAGTACTTTTTAAAAATCCTGTCCCTATCACACATCTGTAGAATAGGAAGAACAGATATTATCACCTCCATTTTACTGAAGGAAAAACTGAGGCAAGAGCAGAGTAATCTCTTTTCTTACTTTGAGGTAGGTGAGATGAAAAATAAGTTATGAGAGCATACATTTCTCTTGCCTTATGGCTCCACCCCTTTCCTTTAAAAAACACTGTGTAGCTTCTCCTTTTCTACTGGGGTTTGCAAACTGAATAGAACTGGTAACAATATTGCATGATGAGTGTCAGCTAAATGAAAAACTAAGTTTTGATAGTAAGTATCAATGATGATAATACACATCTGGTTGATTCCACTAACTTGCATCAACTCAGTCAAGGTCGAATAACCAATATGTCATTTTGACTCAAAAATCATGATCAATAAAACCAACTAGTTGACATGAACACCCAAGAGGCTGCTGAGCCTAGGGATCTCAGTCAATATATTTGCCTTATACCTGTGTCCTTCATAGTTGCAGGTAAGGAGTTCAAAAGTTGGTCTGAGGGGCCAATTGAATAATGAATGGGATCCATACGGGACTTAATGAAGCAGGGCTTTGTTCCTTTTACCAAAGGAAAATTAAAAGAGAAATTTTGTATTTATTTTACAGTGGCAGCAGATTAAGCACTTCAGTAATAATGTGGCAATTCACCAAAAGAGGTCTTAGTTAGGTGCTATCTGAAATCATGAAATTAAGTGGGAAAACATACACATGGAAAGGTTTATATGTTCTAAAAAAATAATCCAAATTTTAGATAAATGATAGTCTTCATAAAGTATAGTAAACAAATGACATATTTTCATTGGCTGATTGAGCCCTTTATACACATATATCATTTTCTGTGTGCCAAACCCTCTACCTAATACCTCTCCTCATAATCACCCCCATGCAAATCATTACAGAGGAAACTCGAGGGTCACTGAGGTTGAGGGCACTTCCTCCAAGTCATGTAGACACAAGGGGAAGTGATAGGATCACAACCCAGGTCTGATGACTCCCAAACCAGCACATTACCCTTATTACTTATTCTCTCAAAACCTTGAGATTATGTATATGCTTTTTTTAAAGCAGGAAGTCACTAAGGTGGCATGATACACTACTTCAGAAAATACAGAGTTAACCTGGGAACAACTGGAGAATGATGGGAAACTGAACACAATAACTGCTGATAGAATCTATTATCCATATTGTTAATACATTAGTATGGGAACTGACTATTGATAATAAATTATTGAAAAAGGTATGATAATGTCACAGAAGCTTGAAATACTTTTCTGCTCAATGACATAAAATTCAGTCTACAGAGTTTTAACTATTCACTCATTTGACAAACAGTTGAGTGCCTACCATATTCCCAGCACTGCTAAAAGCAGAGAAATTTCTCCAGTGATTCAGACAGACAAAAGTCCCAGACTTGATGAAGTTCACAAAAGAAAATGAAGTATTAGAAAGAAAGGGTGAGGCAGAAGATTTTGTTGTGTGTGTGTGTGTGTGTGTGTATGTGTGTGTGTGTGTGTTTACTTATTTATTTATTAGTTTTAGGTGGACACAATATGTGGTGTGAAGGATAAAACCCAGTTCCTCACGTGTGGTAAGCAAGCATTCCACTACTTGAGCCACAACTCCAGCCCAAGACTTTGGTTTTAATCCTGGCCAGATGGCCTTAAGCAAATTATTTGAATCTCTCTGAGTCTCAGCTCCCTTACCTTTAAACTGAGTATAATAGTATCTGTTTTTATTATATCATCTTTTATTAGGAAAAATAATAGTTTATATGTGAAAAAAATCCTACTTATTCTTTAGTCTTGGAGAAACTGAGGTAGTTGATGAGGCATAAAAGTTTTGTCCTCATTATTAAATCCTTCAAAATATTTAATTCCATATTTTCCATGATCTAAGCTTTCTAGGTTTAATGTTAACCATGTGTAAGACTTGCTGGGTCACCATAAGGTCACTCTTCTATACCTAGCCACCAATTTCAAAGTCTGTGTTATAGGCTTAGGATGCCATAATTATGTATGTTTCCCTTTGTTGTGGAAGGAAGTAGGATTTAAATTATATCTTAGTGATTATTTCATTTACACACTTCTAGAGATGCTGTTTCCTAACTAGTTCTTGAGAAACAAATTCATTACAATTGATTATTATAAAAATCTTCCAGTAAGATTTTCTTTCTTTCATATGTTCTTGCATGCTACTGTTTCACTGAGAGTGTGGAATAAGAGCTAGGTGCATGTGGGTATGTCATAGGAAGGACCATTTCTCAGCATTCAGGCTCCACTTTATTGATTAAATCAGAAAAATCAATCAGTTCCAACCCTAAATCCCTGCTTTCCTTACTCACTTTCTTCCTTCACCTTGATGAGTGGGTGGGGGGTTCCTAAGCTATTTTTATCAGCTCAGCAAATCGGAGTTCTGCTTTCTAAACAAAGAGGTGCCAACCTTGAGACTCTGAAAGCGAACACAAGCCAGGCATTGTGCACAAGTGAAAAGAATATAATTAGCAAAGTTATAGTCACAATTAGGAAATACCTCCTCAGAAAAGTTTCCACTTAACTCTGAGCAGCGCTCAAATTACCATTGTGCTTGAGGCCTCTGTCTCTTGGCTGACTCAGACCTCTGCGACAGATCTATGAATACCAGCACCTTCCACAAAACACAGGCACAAATTCTAATGCTGGATGTGTAGTTTTTTTGTGTTGTTTTGTTTTTTAATAACAGATGTGGATAATGTGCAATTTGAGACACCAAAATTAAAATTTAAAAAATAAGAAACATAGTCTCACAAATGTCAGGTATTAGCCAAATTATTCTTTCACCATGCTCTTTCTTCACCTTCTCCAGCCCTTTCCCCTTTGCCATCCTCAGAGAGAGGTTAGGAAACACGAAGAAAGCAAAAATGTATACTCACTTCATCTCCAGGATCTCCTCCAGCTGTTTCCTCCTCTCTATCCGCAGGTTGGCCAAGTGTGCTTCTTTCTCAGCCAGGGACTGCTGTGTAGAGGCAAGGCGGGCTTTGGTGGCATCCAGTTCTTGCCTGGTCTTCTCCAAGGCATTCATCAGTTCCTCTATCTGAAAGGCACATGGAGCTGTGTATGTGATTGCTCCTTCATTCAAGTATAAGGCATTCCTGACTACCCTGTGTTCCAATGATAAATACAAAGAAATTGTGGGTGCTCTTGAAGTAGAGACACTGTTTCCAGGAGCTCTCTCTTTATCACTGATTAAAAATAAATGTTTCTAACACTGTAAATGTCCATTTTGAGATGGGATAGAGTTCAGCAGCAAAGGATTTGCCCAGTACACACAAGGCCCTGCATTCCAAGCCCAGGAAAGCAAAAACAAAAATAAAAGTCCATATTTCTCCAAGGCCCACCTTTGAGGTCCACTGTTTAATATCTATTCTAGAAGCAGGGGTGAGTGACTTGACCTAATTTCAACCCACGTTTGGCAAAATTCTCATCTACTTTCTTGCAGTTAGAGGGAGGCAACACTCAACACAGTTCTCCTGGCACAATCTACTCCTGTGTGTAGACTCCAGGGTACTTTGACAGGAAGTTAATCGATGTGTTTCAGATTCATTTATGTTTTAACCTATCAAAGCCTTGTTTGGTCACAGCTATTTGATGTCCATGGGCCTCAGGAGCCCCTCTCACCTCACCTCCCAGACTTACATTCAGGAAGCAAGATTTGGCCAAAGGTAAACAGAATTCCAGCCACAAAGGGTTCAAGTTTGGTTTGCCCCTGAAGTTTGAGAGGGTTCTAAACTTGAAATAAATGACATGTAACTTTTATAGGGTGCTAATACACCATAGAAATAAGCCAGACTATCAAATATCCAGGGTTTTCCAGCCAGGTCCCAAAAATTGGACTAGGAAGCCCCGTGGCAAGGCCTTACTCTCCCCAAACCATTAGGGACTTTTAAAAGCCATCATACAACAAAAAGGGTTGGTGTTTATGGTTCTGTTCCAGAGACTTCCGTGGAGAAAGTTGGTGAAATGCCATGCCTTGCACAGGCTGCTTCTACTCTGCAGATTCAAAATCATGGTTCCAGGAAGTTTCTAGATTCCAGAGCTGATGTTTGAGTTTCTAAGCCACCCCTCCCCGCTGCACTTGGCAGAATGGGCTCATCCATCACTTAAGTCAACAGAACACCCTTCAAAATGTGTCAATGACATGTTAAGTTTCAATTCATAAAGACTTTTTACACAATTTCTGCAGTTTTACATGGAATTTATTCAGAATAAGCATTATAGTTCACGTCCAAGGTAAATCACAAGCTTTTAAGATTCAGAAAATTCTCCATTTTGCCCTGATAGAAAGAGGAAACTTAATGACCATGCAATTTAAATGAAAGCTAAAACTAAAAACAGTTTAAAATAAAGCAAGACATATAAAGAATAATCTATGAAAGTCACAGGACCACACCTATTTAACTGTAGAATAAATAGCATTATTCTTTAACTTTATAAATACATACAATTTTAAAAAATAATTGTGTTTTTCTTAGGTTCTCATATAAGTCATATAATATTTTAATATGACCAGGCACGGTGGGGCACGTGTGTAATCACAGTGACTAGAGAGGCTGAAGCAGAAGAATCCAAAGTTTTTACTAAGCACTTAATGAGATCTCATCTCAAATTAAGAAGATTAAAAAAGACTAGAGAAGCAGCTCAGTGATAAAGCATGCCTGGGTTCAGTCCTCAGTACCAAAACAACAATAACAACAACAATAATAACAAAACCCATATATTACAAATATATCTAGAAACCCTTCTATGAAGCAATACTTAAGGCTAAAATAAGAGTTTTCTTACTTTTTGTCCCTATTTTTTATGTACTCAATAGTGTAAAAAAATACCTATCAGAATAATGGCCATTCGACAGACTAATTCATGTAGTCTGCTTGACCCTCCACAGGAGATGGTCTTTGCCACTTGACCCTGTCACAAATTATTATTTATTTCAAACATGATACTGATTCCAGAAAAGAGAGGAAAGGTCTCAAGAATTCATATCCACTGAATTCTCTCTCATTCCTTGAAACTGAACTATCTGCAATCTATAGACTCTAATCTATTCACCTGGATTTCCAAGTTACTAATTCACTCACCATCAGACTTCTTGGGCAAACACCAGGAGTTCTATGGTAATCTATCTTTAAATAATTACATTTTAGAGAAACACCTTTCAGCTATAACCACACAAAGAAACCTGGACACTTAGGATATGTAATCCAGTGTTTTAACTGATGGAAATGCCATTGGCTCCCAACATCAATAATGCTTAGTACCATGTAAGAATGCTGTTCCCAACACCTTGGAAATAGAGTCATTAAAGAATTGCAGGCCAAGGCTTCCAACTCATTCCAATTGATATGGAAGTATTGTACATTAAGGACCATAAGATACACTGTAATTTTTTGTAAGCAACCATTCAAATCTCAGAATCTCAGTTTCCTAGACAATGCCCATGGTTCTTTCTATGTTTAATGTTTTATTAGAGTTCTGCAAAATGTTTCCTTTATTGCCAAAGCAGGAGCATTAAAAGTAAGAAATGTTTTCTTGCTGTGGTGATCATTAGGATAGCCTACAGTATTTCAGTTGTCCTCCTTATGGACATATGGTAAGACTACACCTTCCCTCTCCCTGTGAGTATGACTTCAGCCAATAAAATACCATCATTTCCAGGGAGAAGCATGTAGTGCTAGCATTCAATTCCAACCTTCCTTCCTCTGCTCCAAGGCAAACATAGAAGCATGTCTCAGATGACATTTCCTTTAGCCTGAATCCATAGTGGCCATAATGAAGCCTTAGGCCAACCCACATCACATAAGCAAGATATACACCTTTGTTGTGCTACACCATTACTGTAAACCGTCAAGGCTGGTGTGGGAAGTTGGAATTGGGTGCTCTGTACTCCCTACAACAGCCTTCTCTCTTCAAGAGGAAATCATTTGTTACTCTTGCTATCCCATAGAAAAGAGACTTTTGCAGGCCACTGGTAATTTCCTTTTTGCCAAATGTCTTTTCTTAATGTGCAGCTTGCACAGAGCTACATTCCTCCAAATGTATTTATCCCTTCATTAAAATAACATCTTAACCAACAATATACATGTAGTTTGTGTCTCAAAACCACCAGATTAGAATTATGGTGTCACTTACTAAACTATGTGACTAAGACAAGTTTCTTCATCTCTCTCAGTTTCAGTTTCCTCATCAGTAATCTGGGCACCATGTGGCTTGCTTATTAGTTGTCTGTGGGCACTGAAGTGAGATGACATAGACCATAATCATTTCCTCTTCTCACTGATATCAAGAAAATAAATTTTTCTGATAATACAAATAAGGTAGACTTATTACACAGAATATGAAAGCTACTGAAATGAAAACTTCGAAAATTTTTAAGTCAAATAGCATTCTTTTCAGTTAAGATCTACCTACATCCTAGCACCTAGAAATAAAAACTATAAACAATTTTTTCCACCTTCTCCATCCCTCTCTATGTATGTACATATTTAATTGAGATGCTATATATGAATATATCCATATAAAATATAATATTATGAACAACTAATGTATTGTGACCATTTTCCATTTGTCATTAAAGAGTCTTTTGGAAATCCCATTTTAATCTGTGTTCTACCCATTCCCCATTTTCCTAAACCTGATGCTGTGGTCTGAATGCTGTATCCCCCCAAATTCACATGTGCAAATTCTAGCCCCCAAGGTGATGGCATAAGGAGGTGAAGCCTTTGTGAGGAGTTACGTCATGAGGGAAGAGCCCTCAGGAATGGGATTAGTGCCTTTACAAAGGACATCCAAGGAAGTTTATTTCTTCTCCCACTATGTGAGAGTACAGAAGTCAGTATCCACAACCTGGAAGAGGACTTGACCATGCAGGAACCTTGATGTAGGACTTTCCAGCCTCCATAACAGTGAGGAAGAAATTTCTGTTGTTTGTAAATCATTCTGTTTATAGTATTTTGTTACAGGAATCAAAATGGACTAAGATGCATAGGAACTTATTTTCCCTAATTGCTTTGCAAACTCTTCAACTCCTTGCAGTCCATCACTGGGTCCTTCCCCAGGTGCCACTGTCCTAGAGTCACTTCCTCATCTATACAGATACTCAGGAGATGAAGTCTATCTTCACAGTTCTCACCTTCATGCAGATGCCTGTTCAAACTTTCACTTTCTCCTTTAACTCATTCAAACTCTTTCACATGTACCTGTCAATCCCTGGCTCATCTTGACTGGTAAACCATCCAACTTCTTATCAAGTGCTCTGTAGCTGCTTCCATCTTCCTACTGCCTCTGGATCACTTCAATCTGCTTATCTTAATATAACATTAAATTGGAGATGACCAAAGGCTAACTTCTGATCCATGCACATCTAAAAAAAAATCCCTACAGCCTTGCCCTCTCAATGTCACTCCCTAACATCCACCATTTTGGTCTCATGCCCTGAGTTTTTCCCAATCACTCATGTTTGAGTTAAATTTCTCTCTTCCTTTTTCTTCCTATTTTCCATCTGTTACCACATCCAATACTTCTGTTTTGGAAATGCTTATTGGATCCATCACTCCCTTTGATCATTAGTATAATATTCCCCATATATGATAGGATTTAAGTACACGTGCACGTGCGCGCGCGCGCGCACACACACACACACACACACACACACACACACACAGTCTTAGCCTCCACCCCTACCTCTACCCTAAGTGAGGACATCATTTGTCTGCTCAGCTTCTCCCAAGTAAGAGTAGCCACATCTGCTTCTGGATTTTATGAAATAGAATTAGCAAATGGGTAGCAGAGTGTACATATAGGAATAGGCTCTGAAGAGCAGACAAAAAGATTTCTATAACAGAAAATAGAAGGAAGTAATGGGAAGAAAGAGAAAGAAAATCATTGAGGCTGGGGAATATGGTGAAATTATTTTTTTGCCTTAGTACAAAATAAGAGAATTGGGGAAGAGAAAAGGGGAAAAAGCAAAGTCGGTAAGGGTACTCGTGGGGCTCTTACAAGGCTTTCTAAATTTGTAAACTGAAGGTTAGACTTCTT